TAGATAGATAGATAGATAGATAGATAGATAGATAGATAGATAGATAGATAGATAGATAACAAAAATAAAACAAAAAAAACCAACAGGAAAAGGAGTTGGTAATAAAAAATGAGGGGTCCACTGTTTGCCAGAGTGTGAAGAGTGGTGAAACCCTGGCAGGAGTGGGCCTTCATTCTGTACGTAGTGGAAACCATTGGAAAGTCCTTCCAAAGACTGCGCTGAGATGGAGAAGAGCTCAGAGGAACTTCCAGGAGGGAGACTTTGCCCAGTTAGCATCATGAGATCTTTCTGTGCAGTGAGAAGGTGGGGAACATGGACTTGGACATTCCCAGGCTGGTGTGAAAGGACCAGCAGCCTGCTCATTGCCTTTTCCAGTGGCCTGTAGCTGTTGCTCTTGCCAGGCATCTCTCTCAACCATTTGCAGCAGCTTCTGGGAGCTGCCCAACTTCATTTGCCACCCATCTATCCGTCCATTCTGTCATTTACTCACCCGTTCAACAGAACATTTATCTAGCTCTGACATGTGCCAGAGATGGCAGCTGGTCCTCTGACTCCTCCTTGGTCTTCTCTGCTTGTGAGTCAGACATTTGATCAGCTTCCCTGGGATTATTAGAATAAAATGCTGACCAGTATTCTCTAGGGAAGAAAGGTCTTGGGTTAGGACTGTGGCTGTCCACTTTAGAAAGGAAAGATATTTTATTATGATAAAAGAGCATGTGGAAATGTAGAAAAGATGGAAAGCCAGAATCTGAAATCACTCTTAGGAGTTACATTGCTCTCAGCATTTTAGCCTCTGCCTGTTTTCATTTACTTTAAGCATTTTTCTCATTTTGTCCAAGCTTCTCCCCCAGTAAGCACAGATGGCCTCTGAGGGAGGAAGCTTTGGAAAAGCAGATTTTTCCTGCAAGAGGCAGTGGAAGCAGAAGAGTTCCCACCCATCTTGGAGTATGTGGAAGGGTTGCACTTTGGAAGTGACTCTGCCTTTGACTCATGTTTAGCCTGCAGCTGGCCAGCTTGTTCCAGCCTGTGCTGCAAGCTAGAAAATCCTTTGCTAGCTACACCCACATATACACAGCCCCCGTTCCCACAGCTCCTGGTTAGGGGTCACTGTCCCACAGAGCTCTTTCCCGTGGCCGTCTCAAAGCAGCTTCCTCCACTCTCCTCTGCTATCCACTCATCTAGTGGCGGCTTCTGCTCTTGAGTCATGTGTCGGTAGTACTTTCACTTTGTCAGAACTCAAAAGGTGCAAAATAGGGGCTGGAGAGATGGCTCAGCAGGTAAGAGCAGGGCCTTTCTTCTGAAGGACAGAGTTCATTTCCCAGCACCCACTCTGAGTCAACAACTGCCTGTAACACCAGCTCCAGGTCTTCTGGCCTCTGTGGGCACCCTCACACATGTCACACACATACACACACACACACACACACACACACACACACACGAAACTTTAGAAAAATGTAAACTATATGGTGAACTGTCTCCCTCCCCCTTTATAGTTCTTTCCATCACATGTCAACACTGTCATAGTGTGGGTGGAATTTTTCAGAGATATGCAGTATAGGAAAATATGCACATTTTACATTCCCCTCCCTTTGCTTTAGCAGTGATGAGAATGGAACCTGGGGCTTAGTAAGTGCTTAGTAGGAACTTTACCACTGAACCATTCTCTCAACCCCACCCCTCTTTTTAAAAATTGAAAACTGGTGCTAGGGGAAAATGCTCAGTGCCTTCAGAGTGACTGGGCAGCACTGTGCATCTGGCATACTGGACACAAGAGACAGATTTTGTGTGTGTGTGTGTGTGACTTTTTTTTTAGTTATTTGCTATTTCAAAATAAATAACATTGTATACACATCACTTTGTACCTTTGCAAGCATATTTGAGGATTAATTCCTAGAAGTAGAAATGCTGGGACAGATGGTATGTGTATCTTTAATTCTCACTTTTCTTGCCAAATCACCTTCCATGGGAGTTGTTCCAGTTTACCCACTAACAACACAGCCTGGCAAGTGTTGAATCAGCTTGGGCCTAACTGCCCTCTCTGGCCTCTGCTGATGCTGTGTCTAGGAGGGCCTGTTCCTTTTGGCTTAGCTGTTCTCTGCCACGTGCAGTGCTGCAGTGAGACAGACATTGCAGAAGCCAGCCAGAGGATGGGCACGTGCTTGCCGAGCACCTGCAAGCACTACTCAGCACTACACTGGGCACTTAAGTGCATCTCTGATTCGGGGAAGCAAGATGTTTGGAGGAAGAATTACACCATAGAAAAACAACAGCTGCTCTGTCAGTTATCAGGGCAGCATGTTCTGTGCGCAGTGAATCTGGCCCCAGAAGAAAGACTCCGTGGTTGAGTATAGCCAAGTAGTACACAGTGAGGCCTGGAATGCTTCAGAGTTTGAGAAGGACAGGGCGAAGAAGAGATGCAGGAGGAAAAGGATAGCTGCCTCCCGGGCTTGCTCACCCATACTAATCTCAAACATCTAGGCTCAAGCCATCTTCCTGCTTCAGCCTCCCAAGTAGCTAGAAGTATAATCATATGTAACTATGCTGAAACTTATAATGTATAATTTTTTGAGAAAAATTTAGATTTTATTTATGTGTATGAGTGTTTTGCTTGCATGCATGTGTGTGAAGCATGTGCATGCCTGATGCCTGTGGAGTTCAGAAGAGGGCATACAGATCCCCTGGAACTGGAGTTACAGATGGTTGTGAGTCACCAAGTGGGTGCTAGGAACCAAACCCAGGTCCTCTGGAAGAGCAACAAGTGTTCTTAACCACTTAGCCATCTTTCCAATCTTCTGTGTGTGTATAATTTTTTTTATTGTTTTGTTATTGAAACAGGGTCTTGCTGTATAGTCCAGGCTGGCTTCCAACTTGTGATCCTCCTGCCTCAGCTTCCCAAATGCTAAAATTGCAAGCATAGACCACCACATCTAGCTTTTAACTTTTTATTAAGAGCTGTAGAAAACAGGCTGGTGAGTCCCAGTACTCATATCAGGCAGCTCACAACCATGGTAACTCCAGCTGCAAGGAATGGCACTTTCTGGCCTCTGTGGGCATCTGTACTCATGTTCACTACCAACTGACAGACAGACACACACACACATAATTCAAATAAATCTTTTTTAAAATAGAATTATAATTAAACCAACTGGCTTAGTTCATAAAACAAATATGGAGTATATGATACATGTAAGTCCTGAGCACATTTAGCCTGTTCTGAATGAACACATTGTATTAACATTGTCACATATAAACAATTTATAGAGATTCCAAATCATGCAAGAAACTAAAACTTCATATCTTAGAACCCAAGTGAGAAAGATTGTTGATAACTGTGATTTCAAGGCTCCTAGGGCCAGCAAATTTTGAGCAAGAAGAAAGATAATCTGTCTGTTTCATAATCCCAGGGAGTCCTGTGCAGCCCTCTGGTCCCTTTGTTAGAATAGATACAGCTATGGTCACTTTCCATAATGGGGCGATACAGTACATCATTCTGAGGTAGGCTCAGGAAAGCCCCTGGGTAGCCCCCAGAAAGTTGGTATAGGATGGGATGGGAGCAGGGAGTTGACTCAGTACAGCAAAGTGAGGCCCTGAGTTTGATCTCTTCAGAACCCATGTAAAAATGTGAGGTGCTGGGGAGGGAGAGACAGTCAGTCTCACCTAATTGGTGAGCATCAGGACTGCTTTCCTGAGACTAACACTGAAGTTAGCCTATGGCTTCCACAAACACAAGAACACCCACATGGATTTATGGGAGAGAGAAATGAACCTTTCTGCTCTGGTATTTATGAATTAATCTGGCCTTTGCCTGTGTTTGCTTCTGCAGACTAGCTTCCTTTTATGAGATGGCAATCCCTGAAATGGAGTCTGCAATTAAGAAGAGGAGGCTTGAAGACAGCAAGTGAGGCAGGGACAAAGCTACGAATGTTGTGTGGGAAGGGGAAGCCTGAACACAGGCTGTGGCATCCTCACTGCTAGGACAGATAGGGAAACAAAGACCTTGGTTGCTTGGTCTCCTAGTCCTGGACTTGGTGGTCTTCTAGCCCTGCTTTGTTATTTTTGTGGTTTTTTTTTTAAACACTAAGGTTTTCATTTTATTTTTTATTTTGTGTACTGAGAATTGAACCCTTGACCTTGTGAATGCTGAGCACACGTTCTTCCACTGAGCTACACTCTAAAACCTTAAAGATTGTTTTTGTTTTTGTTTTGTTGGGTGGGGAGCAGGGTTCAAGACGGGGTCTAGATGTCCTGGAATTTACTTTGTAGACCAGACTGTCCTCAAACTCACAAAGATCACCTGGCCTCTGCCTTTCAAGTGCTGGGATTAAAGGTGGGCGCCATCACTACCAGCTGGCAAAGATTTAATATATATATGCTTTGTGAGGACCTAAAGAGAAATACTTTGGCAAGTAGAGATTTATTATTTACTTGCTTTATTTTTTCTTAATTTTTATTTAGCTCTTTGAGAATTTCCTACAATATATTTTGACCATATTCCCCCCTCTACCAACTCATCCCTGATTCACCCCCCACTTTCCCAACTTTATTTTCTCTTTTTTTTCTTTTCTTTCTTTATTTTTCTTAACATATCAGGTCAAATCTGTGCTGCCCATACGCTCTTGGAAATGTGGCCTCTACTGTGGTGTGCTCAACCTACCTAGGGTCTCTCACACCTTTAAAGAAAACTGACTCTCTCTCCTGATAGCTGTCAGTTGCCAATAGCGCCTCAGTTAGGGGTGGGACTTTGTGCTCCCCCTTCCCCTGCATACTGGGATTTGGTCTGATTTGAGTTGGCATGTGTCTTGCTCATTTTGTCATAATTGCTATGAGTTATATGTGTAACTGTCCTGCTGTGTCCAGAAAACACTGTTTTCTTGTAGTCACCCACAGCCTCTGGCTCTTATGATCTTTCCACACCTTCTTCTGCAGTGATTCCTGATCTTGGGATAAGGGGATTTAATATAGATGTACCATTTGGAGCTTAGCATTCTGTAATCTAGCACAAGCAGAGATGTAAATATTAATTGTACACTGTCTTGCTACAGGCCACCTTATGAGGATTGTCTGAGAGTCCTTCTTGGCCACTAAATCCATTAATTCAGTGTCCCCCAAATCTTAGCAGATCATGTCTGGTCCCTGAATGTAAGCTCAGCTGTTGCTTCAAGTTCTTGGTAACTGACCTTGCTGCTCCTACCCTCTGTTTAGCTGAGAAGTGGCCTGAAACCAGCTTGCTACCCAGTATTTGTAGCCTTTTCTCAGCTGCTCCCATGAGTGGCCTTTAGGATTATCTCAGCTGTGGGGAAGTTCCCATGGTTCCTTTCATCTTTTAAGTCTACTTCTCTTCTCTCTGACTGTCAAAGACTGCTAGGGGACATGTGGCAGAGGCTCTCTCACTCCAAGAAAAAACTACTGGAGGTGTTTCACATCATCCTGAACCAGATCTGCCTCCTTCCCATTCTAGAGAGCAGGTAAGCTCCAAGGAAACTCTCTACACATGGCAAGTGTTTCTCATCACTCCTCCCCTCTTTCCTTCCTCTCTGCCAAACATAATGGGAAACCCAGAAAAATGACTTTCTCCAACTGGCCAGAGACTGCAGAGGGGTAGGGTGAGCATCCAAGGGACCTCAGATCATCGTGCATTGCATGAGCTCATCTTCCCTCATGTCCTGTCCTAGCAATGACAACATTCAAGGCTTCATTGAAGAATTTCTCCAGATCTTCAGCTCCGTGCTGCAGGAGAAGAGGTGAGTGGGGCTGAGGGGATACCAGCTATGGGACACGCCCGTGTCTCTCTCCAGTCCCATGAAGCTTGCACAGCAGTGGAGCTGTTAATTCATACTTACATGGAGCAGAGGTTCTGGAGCCTGTGGTTGGTAGCAGACATGAGGTGACCTTCTGGAGTACATGCTCCTATGCCTCCAACCCTGACCTGCCTTTCTGTGCTCTTCCCCACAGATTCCTCCGGGACTATGACTCATTCTTCCCTGTAGCTGAAGACATCAGCCTACTACAGCAGGCTTCCTCAGCCTTGTATCCTACTACAGCTCACTGGGCCAAGGCCTGACTAGGTCAGACATGGCACTCTGGGACTCAGAGGGGCAAAAGGTAACCTCTAGAACACTCAAATCCCAGAGTCTAACAAAAGCCCTAGTTCCTCTTTTTCTAGAAGTGACAACCGTTCTGATGCTTGGGGCAAGGGAGAGCCTGCTCTCTCGTCTATGTGTTCAAATTGTACTCTAGAAACCTTGAACCCATTGTAGATGAGGATGAGTAAAGGGGCAGCTAGGATAGAAGATGCCCTGATCCAGGCTTAGGTTGAGGACAGTCATGTTCCCAGGGGTTTGGAGAACAAAGAGAACTGGGTCTTTGAGGAGCCCTCAGATGTCATGTGTGGCTATTTGTAAGGCAGTGGGCAGTAGTGTCTGGTGCAGGTGTGGCAAGTGAGCTGGGGTTGACCAACATTCAGAGCCCTTGCGTGATACCCATAAAGAAGTTTGGGCTATGTGTGTCAGATGCTGGGGAGTGGGGAGTTGGGAAGCAGAATGACATGGGCTGTTACTACTCTGGAAAGGCTCTACCTGGCTCTGGGAGAGAATGCTGGCCTGGGACCACCAGAGACTGGGATCACTGTTGCAGGCCTCCCTGCATGGGATTTGGTAGATTGAGGGTGTGGGGGGCAACACTAATTTCTAGCCCAGTGCCCAGAGTGGCAGAGAGAAAGAAGGAATAGGAAAGAGCTGCCCTTTGAGCCATTTTGTTGCTGAGTTCAGTCCTGACTTGGGGACCCCCAGCTTGGTGGACAGGAAGTCCAGTGAAAGTACTGTTGGCCCTCCTGATATCTGAGCAAAGAGTAGCTGTGGGATGATCCCAAAGTCTGGGACACTGATGGTAATCCCCAGCCCTGTCTGCCCTGAGCTGCTCTGCTGAGCAGTAGGTGTGAAGGTTCAAGGCCTGTGCAGCAGTATTCTATCTAGCACACTGTTCCGCATGGCACCCATTGAGCAAGCCAGCAGGCCCTGGGAAAGGCCTCATGGTCATATGCTGGGCAGGGACTGCAAAGTCATACTACCCAGAGCTGGGGAGGTGGTTGCTGAGCGAGAGAGCCCTTAACACTGCCTCATAGGGATGAGACCCGGACTGCCTACATCCTACAGGCTGTGGAAAGTGCATGGGAAGGGGTGGACAGACAGAAAATCAAGGACACTAAAGAGCCGTCGAAGGCCAAGGATTCTAATAATGAAGTTACAGCGGCAGTGAAGCCAGTCAGTGAAAGGCCATCACAGCTGGAAAACTCAGAGGAGGATGAGGAGGTGTGTATCTGAGAGTTCCCACCCCTGATCCCTGGTTCCCTAGCCTTCCTGACCACTTCTTGAGAGATAGGCAAGTGGCCAAGTGCCCTTCCTTGTTTCTGTTTTAGGGAAAAGAGTCCATTGGAATTGGTAGCCTCCAGCACTGGGGCTGCTGTTAGTACCCTGGGGACAGAAGAGAACATAGCCCTTAAACCCTTAAACTTGGTGCTTCTCTCTCTTCTCTCTTTCTTTCTCTCTTTTCTCTCTTTCTCATTTTGAAACAAGGTAACATGCTCAATGGTCCTCCAGGCTAGCCTTGAACTCACAGCAATCCTCCTGTCTTTACCTCCAACTACTGGGATTACAGGCGTGCACTACCATGCCCAGCCCTGTTTCCCTCTATAAAATGAGGAGGTGAAGCTTTTACTTGTGGACTCCTTCTCCAGCCCCTCCTCACGCTGGGTAAGGTGGAGTTCCTTTGCTGGCAGCTGAGCGTAGTGCCAGACCCACCTCCCAGGGATCACAGGGCTCCACTGAACAAGCTGGGAAGTCCTGGACCCAGGGCCTCCTCTCAGGTCAGGCTGCTCAGTGGTAACCTGACCTCTGTTTGCTAACTGTGTATGGCAGATCTCTTGTATTCAGTGTAGTTGCTCCTCTGTGTATAGAGATAGGTGTGGTGCCTGCTTCCATGATGTTGTTGAAGTTCCTGGGGCTGCTATATGGAACTCTCTTGATTCTGGTTGATCCTCAGTGCCTAATTAGCATATGCTACTGTTCTTCCTGTTAAACCCCCTGATTCATTCTTCCCTGTTTGGTGGCTTCTCTGAGCCATGGAGGTCTTTATCATCATCAAGATGTTCTAGTGCTGGTACTACACAAGCATTCCTCCACTAAGCTAGATCTCTAGCTCTTTATTGTTTTTATTTGCCCATCTCCTTAGAAAGCATTATAAAACGAAGCCACGGGGGCTGGAGAGATGGCTCAGCAGTTAAGAGCACTGGGCTGTTCTTCCAGAGGACCAGAGTTTAATTCTCAGCACCCACTTGGTGGCTCACAACCATCTGTAATAGGATCTGATGCCCTCTTCTGGCCTGCAGAGCACTCATACAGAAATATAAATAGATAAATAATTTTTTTTAAAAAAAAAAAGTGAAGCCACATTGGGCAGTATGTGAAATGACGTCTCCTTACTGAAAACAATGTGACGTAAGGGGGCATCTCCTCATAGTCTCACGGGTAGTTGCTGTTTCCTTCAAAGGCAGTCACCTTGGTAGAATTGGGCAGGATCTAGATCACTAACATGTGACTGTCTGTGGAGATCTCCTGCACAGCAGTACTCTGCTCTATAGGTAATGTGCATCTCTTCATTGAACCATCTGAAATAACCCCACTAGACCAATGGTAGTGTCCATTTCTTAAGGAGGGAACTGTTCAGAGAGAGGATGCACAGTGCCCCAAATCACATAGGTCAGGGGTAATTCACCTAGGAAGTCATAGAGCCCCTCTCTTCACAAAGGAAAAAAATAGGGGCTCAAATTTAAGTCACTTGGCAAAAACCCTACAACTAGGAGGGGCAAGGGTAGGGCCCCTGCTGACTAATGCAGTGTTGTTTGGAGACTCTTACCCTTTCGTGGGGGCTGCTTAGTCTTTCCTCCATCGCTCTGGCTTCCATTGCAGTGCAAGGGTGCAGCAGCTGCCCTGGGCCCAACCGTGTGTGGTGTGCAGCTAGACTCCCTCATCTCTCAAGTGAAAGACCTGCTGCCAGACCTCGGGGAGGGCTTTATCCTGGCCTGCCTGGAGCACTACAGCTATGATTCAGAGCAGGTGATCAACAACATCCTGGAGGATCGGCTGGCCCCGGAACTCAGCCAGCTGGACCGCAGCCTGAAAAGGTGAGTGAGGTAGATGGAAGAGGTCCTCAAGGCAGGGTCCCCTTTCCCTGCCTCTCGCTCTTCCCCTAGACTAGAGGATACATTGCTCCCTTTTCACAGCAGTGTTTCCTGCAGTTTGAACTAGTGCCCTTTTTAAAGAAAGGAAGCTTGGGGCCTGTAAGGTTCTGAGCACACAGCTGGCTGTCCCTGCAGGACCTTATAGGAAGACTTACTGGAGACTAGCAGTGTGATAAAGGGTTCTCTCTCTCTCTCTCTCTCTCTCTCTCTCTCTCTCGCACACACACACACACACACACACACTCCAGCTCTAGATCTGCCTCATTGTTAGCATATTCCCAGTTCCAAGTTATGATAGCCAAAGCCACTCCCTTTCTCTGCACTGAAGCTCATGGTTTTGGTGCACTGCTATCCCGAAAGCTTCAGGGGACAGCAAGAACAAGCGTACAAGTGAATGCTTCTTCCGTGAACAAATGATGTTTGCCAGATGAATGAATGAAGTTAGCCTTGTACCTTTGGACACATCCCTCAGCCTGTTTGTGTTCCATGTTACAGATGGCAGTGCTGAGACACAGGAGGTGGACTAGGAGCTGAGAGTAGAGCTCAGCAGTAGAGCATGGGCTTAGCTGTGTGCAGTGCGTTCCTAGCATCCACAGCAAATGTAGCTGCCCTCCATCCCCCATCCCCAGCCCAAAAAAGAAGTTGAGTGACATATAACTCCCTGGCTTATAGGGCCATTGTGGACATTTAAATGAGGGATAGAGCTTTGAAGAAATAGAAAACTGGTATGCATGACACACAGGGAATGAGGGTGAGGTGTGGCTTTGGGCCCTTGACAGGAGCCAGGTTAAGTAAAGCTTAATTAAAAGCTCCCCGTTAAAGGACTTATGTCCTAGGCTAGGATTTTGGAGTGGAGTGAACAGTATGATGGGGAGAACACAGTGTGGCTTAGTCATGTCAGTTAGCAAGGCCCTTTCAGTTGATTTCTGTGCTGTGGCCCCCAGACAGGTGAAGCCGGACCCTACACCCCTGCTGACATCTCGTCACAACGTCTTCCAGAACGATGAGTTTGATGTGTTCAGCAGGGACTCAGTGGACCTGAGCCGGGTGCACAAGGGCAGGAGGTGAGTGTGGCAGGACATGGGGTCTGCGCTCCAGTTCTAGAGGGTGGGGAGAAAGAAAAGCCCTTTTTTTTTTTTTTTTTTGGTTTTTGTTGTTGTTGTTGTTTTTGTTTTTTCTCGAGACAGGATTTCTCCATGAATCAGTCCTAGCTGTCCTGGAACTCACTTTGTAGACCAGGCTGGCCTCGAACTCACCTAGATCCGCCTGCTTCTGCCTCCTGAGTGCTGGGATTAAAGGCATGTGCCATCACCAGCAAAGGCCCTTTTTGATAGAAGCAGCCATAGGTTTTCCCCTCAGAGAGTTCCACCACTCCACTTTTTAATTTATTTTTATTTTATGTGTATGAATACTTTGTCTCTATATATGTATGTGCACCATGTGCATGCCTTATGGCCATGGAAGGCATCCATAGAGGCACCCTGTGGAACTGGAATTACAGACAATTATGAGCTGCCATATGGGTGCTAGGAACCAAATCTGGGTCCTCTTAAGAGCAACCAGTGTTCTTAACTGCTGAGCCATCTCTCCATCCCCTCAGGGGTCCCTCTGAATCCTGGCCTTATACACTGTCATCCTACAAGAGCAGGTTCTTTAACAGTGTGCTGTAAATCCAGCTTTGTGTGTGGGGTGACTGCTAGTGATAGATACCTCCTTGTAAGTGGTAGAAGGCCAGAGAGCCACATCTGTCCCCTTGTCCCTTCTAGTATGTCTTTTGATGTGTGTGTGTTGGCTCTGTGGGTGTAGAGCTAGACAGTGCTTCCTAGAAGCCAGTTTTTGACCTGATTTTTTTCTCCAGGCTGTGACAAAACAAAATTAAGTCGCGTGAGTAAGTTTTTTCCAAAGATGAAAGAATTCTGTTTTAAGGCTTTCTTTCATCTTTAGTTTATCTTCTTTCTACCTTTTTAGCATTGTAATCCATCCATGGCCTATTCATTCATTCAATAAATACTTGCCTGGTGCTTATTGCCTTGATAATTTAGTACCAGAGCTGTAGTGGGAAGTAAAGCAGACACTGCCTACATCCATGTGAAATTTGTATTCCTCAGCTCATCAGACAAGCACGGTAGTGGGCAGCCTCCTGGTCCCTTGCTACAGCCGTCAGCCTAGACAGGAAGGCTCCCTAAGACAGTGACAGAGAACTGAAGGATGTTTGGGGTGGCTCAGCAGAGCAGGGAGGAAACTTCCCAAGCTGAGTGAGCAAAAGCAGTGGTGGCTCCAAGACCAGTATGAGTGTAGTAAAGGTCCCATGAACTCAAGAGCATTTATGTTTTATAGAGGTCACCCAAGCTGGGCATGGTAGCTCAAGCCTCTAATTCCCACACTTAGGAACCTGAGAGGATTTTTTTTTTCAATAATGAATTCCAATCTAATCTAAGTGAGACCCTGTCTAACAAATAAATAAAAATTAAATATTGGGCTCTGGAATGGCTTCCTCTGGGAAGAAACTGAAGTCAGTGGTGATGGCAGAAACATTGACAGCCAGGTAAAGAATGGGGGTAGGGGAGTTAATCTGCTCCAAAGTTCTATAGTCACATTGAGTCATAGAACCCGAAAATCCAGGGGCTCTGTTCAAGTGCAGCCTGTGCTGTCCCCATCATAATAGTGGGGACAAGAGGGTCTAGAAAGGAGGGAGACTGTTAGTCTTGGGGCCGTGTTCTGATAAGAGCCCCATGCAGTAACACAGTTGCTTCATCAGTTAGAGCCCAGGGCTGTTCCCCACCTGGGGCTGTGTGCTGCCAGAAGCTTGCTGACTGAGGGCTCAGCAGGCACAGGGCAACTCTGAAGCCATCTGGCTGATTGCACAAGAAATCCTGGCACATTGCTTCATCAGTCAAATTGTGAGATTCCCTTGATCCCAGGCAGAGCGGTTATTCCTGTTGGTGGCTGCTCTAGGAAGAGCCAAACAGGGTCCCCCAGGCCAGCAGAAGGTGTGGGGAGCCTGACTGGTAGGACCCTCTACAGAGCTTAGCATCTCTGGACACAGGTTTCCCCTTGGTGTTCATCCGTAGGTTCACCTTGGTCACTCCACATCCCCACCCAATTGGAGGTCACCTATGAGCATTTGCCAGTGGGCTGCTTTCAGCTGTCAGGGTCATCAGAAGAACTGAAGCAGCCAGGTGTCCTGAAGGCTGTGTCCTAATTCTGTGGCACTCTGCCTGCCAGCAGAGACTGAATGACCAGTGTTTACCAATCCCACTTTGGGCAGCCCAGGGGCAAGGATTGTAAAGAGGTAAAGCCTTCATTCATGGTTCAGTATTTATCCACTCAGCAAATATTTATTAAGTGCTTTACTAGCGTGAGATCCTGTGCGAGGCACCAGGAAAACAAGGTGAGCAGGGTACCTTAGCTTTGCCCACAGAGGGCAGAGACCGTGGGAAAGACAGATCATCAAATAATCAGGTGCACCAGGAGTTCAGCAGGGGCACCTGCCTAGTCAGGGCAAGGTGGAAGGGCGAGGGCCCTGCCTTCGGGTAGCAGGTGGAGAATTAAGTAGCACAAAGTAAATCACACCTGTGTACATATGCATTGAATCTGATGAACATGCTTGGCAGCTTTGTTAGCAAGTAGAGTCTGATCTCTTACACACAAAGAGTTACAGAGGGCAGAGGTGGGGCTTGGTTACCCTGTGGCTGGTTTTTATTTGGTAACAAGCACAAGATGTCTTCTGGTACCCTGGCTTAGGGGTCCCTCAGGACTGTGAAGGGCTTCAGCTATTTGATTTTTGGCTACTAGAAACTGTAATGCCCAAGGGTGTCCAGACAAGGTATTCTTGCCTTTCTTTTATGTTTTGTTTAATTTTTGCTTGTTTTGTTTTTTGGTGATGCTAGGGCCCGAACCCAGGGTCTTGCACACTACCATTGTGTCACTACCCAGCCCCATCTCTTTTTTAAAGAAGAACAAAGCAGGCCCAGAAGCTACCGTATTTTTCTCATGTGTCGTGAACAGAACTGGGCCAGACTTTGGGACTCTAATGTGGAGCACAGAAGTGGAGCAATCTGAACCTGAGTCAGAGCTGGGCCTGGCTCACACAGTCCCAGCAGGCCAGTCTGGGCTATATCAGGAGATCCTGTTTCAAAATAAGCAATGAAGAAAGGGAGGAAAGGAGGAAGGGAAGAAAGGAAGGAGGGAGGGAGGGAGGGAGGCAGGCAGGCTACTAGAGTAGACTAGAGGGTAGCTTTGGTTGAACACCAAGCACCTGTGTACACAACATGTGATCTTCTAACTCCTTTGGACTGCTCTATAGAACCCTGGAAGATAACAAGAGTCCCCCTCAACAAAGGTTCTGTGGCCAGATATGTCTGTATGTTTTGTCTGCCTCTTGGAGAATCACAACGTACATTAGCATATTAGACTGACAGAAGAAACTGAATTCATTTTGTTGAGCTCAGCAAACGCTGATCCATGTCTGTATCTTTTATATCTTCTTTTCCTTTAGTTTTGTTGTTGTTGTTTGTTTTGTTTTGTTGTTGTCTTCTGTTTGAGACGGAGTCTGGTGTAACTCCAGCTAGCCTCAGACTCACTAAGCAGCCAAAGATGACCCTGAACTCATTGTCACCCTGTTCCTATGTCCTCCGCATTTGGGGTAGAGCCGTGCAGTGCACCCCTGCGCTCAGCTTTACACATCATCGCATTTCATTCTCGGCTCACCCCTGAGAAGTGAATACTGCAAGCAGGAAATTAAGGAGGTTTTTGTTTGCTTTGATTTTGAGATAGGGACTCAGAGGCTGGCCTGGAACTAACTCACTGTGTAAACCAGGCTGGCCTGAAACTCACAGAAATCCTCTTGTCTCTGCCACCTTAAAGCTGGGTTTATTTCCCCACCACTCCTGTTTTTTAAGTTACAGATGGTTGTGAGTACATATGTGAGTGGCAGAAATTGGGCCTGGGTTCTTGATAAGTGCAGCCAGTACTCTTAACCCCTAAACCATCTCTCCAGTCCTGTTAGTGCTAGGTTTAGAGGCAAGCAACCCCCACCACGCATGACTGATTTAGCGATGCTAGAGACTTGCTGTGACCACACAGCTTAGAAAGTGTAGAGTAAACCCAAGTCAGGACCTGAACCCTTCCTTTAGAAGCTGTATGGCTCTGGGAGTTGTTTCTCTGCCTTTAGGTGCCCCAGAACTCCCTCACCTGGAATGTTTGTTGTCTCTACAGGCCACTAAGGACCTGTTAAAATCAGGTTTTTATAGAACAGAGTTGAGTAGATGACAAGAGAAAAGGTGACCAGCTTCAGGAGAGCAGGCATGTTCCTGGCCTTGCTGCCACTTTATAGGAGGCCAGGATTCCAAAGACAGTCTGTGAAGTTCTTGTTGCCTGTTTCTAGAGGAGGGTGAAGTCCTGGCTTATGAATGGATCTTTCCCAGGTGCTTGTGTGGGATCTTCTTTCTTCTTGGCTCCAAATCTAGACAAGGAAGCAAAGCGCAGTACCCTAGACAGGCAGCCCAGGCCCCTGGCTCTGCTGCCTGGTGTCTCCCAAGGCCTAGGTGGGATCCATAAAAAGTGTCTTCTCCATCTGGCCCTGCAAAAAGCCACATAACTAGATACTATCCACCTTCACCCAGAACCTGGGATGACAGAAACCAGGAGCTTCAGAGAGCTGCCAGACAAGGATAACACCTTTTCTTCTTGGGCCCCTGGCCCAGCATAGATAGTACCTGGCATCTCAAAAAGTGTGGCTGAGTGCAGGAATGTGTTCTTACTGGTGGTACCAGCAATGGGAAAGGCTTAAAGCCCTTTCTCTTTTCTATCTCCTTACCAACCTGACAAAGAAAGAGTCTCATGCAGTGCCAAGGCCATCATCACGGCTCCACAGCCCCAATCCTGGTGGCTGGGAAAGATTCCTGGATTGGTCTTTTGGGTTTTTGTTGTTGTTGTTGTTTTTCAGTTTTATTTAAAACAAGGGCTAGTGTAGCCTAAACCGGCCTCCAGCTCTCTTTGTAGCTGAGACTGACCTTGAACTCCTGATCTTCCTGCTCCTCCTCGCTAGTGCTGGAATCATACATTTTGCCATCATGCACAGCTTTGTGGGGTTTTGTTTATTTGTTTGTTTGCTTGCTTGTTTTGTTTGAGATAAGGGTCTCTGTAGTCCAACCTGGCCTTTAACTCTTGGCAGTTCTCCTACCCCAGTCTCTCAAATACTAGGACTATAGGCATGAGTCACCACAACCAGATAAGATTTCTGTTTACCTAAGAGTTCACTCAGATCTAAACCAAATACAACATCCTTTATGTCCCACTGTGGGGTCCTGGTGCTATCAACCACTCTCCTGTCATGAGTTTCCTCACCCCTTCCTCCAGACCTATGCTGGTGCCGCCCTCACTTCTGTCAATGGCAGCCCACTGCATTCGGCATACTTTGTGGCGTTCACCCTCACTCTACTGTGAGTACAGATGCATATCTGACACGTTTCTCAGTCTCCTCCCTGCTTAGGCTTAGAATGGCTCTGACAGGTAGGAAGATTGTCACAGTGCAGCAAAGCCTTGCCAGCCGTACTGAAACTGCAGTCCCAACCTGTCTGGCTCCCAGACGACCCTACAGACCCAGACACCTGCCACCCACCCAGAGCCAGCGTTAGAAGATCTGCACAGAATCTACGTGGCTCTGTGTCTCACTTTTTGTTTTTCTCAGACCCCTTCCTCTTGATACATTCCAGAGATGGAATCTCGTCACTAAGCTAGATTTCTTGCCTGCTATCTCTACTTGATTTGCCCATGCAGAGCCAAAGAAACCACATTCCATGAGCCTATGTATGTGGTTGACAAGCCGGGGTTCTCTACAAGTTTGCAAAGCCATGGTCAATAGACTTGAGGCCCTGCTGACACTGTGATGTACAGTTCAGTGTGAGCCAGGTGTGTCCCTTCCCCCTCCACTGCGCCCATCTGTCCTGGTTTTCGACATAACTGATGGCAGTCGGAACTAGCAGACTTTCCTCCTCCCACGGTACCTTGCATGGAAGCTGGCCCTGCAAAACAGGGATGGGAGCTGCTGTAGTGAGAGGGTGAGAGGAAGAAGCCAGACCCCCTCTTGCCTCACCCAAGAGTGCTTAGGGCTTTCCTGGGCTTAGGACAAAGAGGGTCTGAGGTCTACAGAAGTGAACCCAGCATCTCTCTGGACCTTTTGCCCTCCACACTCTTCCAGACCTGATGGTGTCCTCCCTCTCTCCCTGCTGTCCCTGGCTCCAGGAAGGAGGAGAACGTGAGGAGCCTGGTGAACGACAAGCGGGCTGTGGTGGCTCAGAGGCTTCGCTACCAGCAGTACAGCGTGGTAATGGAGGAGGTAGGCTGCCCAGCCTGGGCCTATGCTGAGTGTGGGAAATCGAGCAGGTCCCCTAGCTTCTCTGACCCATGAGTCGGCTGCTGCAGGTCCCAGTGCAGCCAGGAGAACACCAGGTTGGTGACTACGAGGACGAGTATGACGACACATATGATGGCAACCAGGTGGGCGCCAACGATGCAGACTCGGATGATGAGCTCATCAGCCGCAGGTGAGTAGCAAGGCTAGCAGGCTAGTGTCAGGTGACCCGCACCTGGCCCGCCAGACAGATATCCCGGCCCCACTCCCACCCTCTGCTCCTTCACCCCACCCCACTCCCACCCTCACCCTCACCCCCATCCCCACCCCCTGTTTTAGCAAGTCCTGTTTTTTCCTAAGTGTGGAACATTTCCTCAGCAGAATTTTGTAGGGATTTACCTGTGCAGATCAAAGCAGGGCTTCCTGGTGAACAAAAAGACTGGAGATCCCTAGGGCCTCAGCTCAGCAATTACCCCCCTTTAAAGAATCTGGGGACAAAAGCAAAGCCTGCTTGAAAACCCCTGTGGGAAGGTTCCCTTGCCTCCCGAGCAGTGCCCCTCCCAGCCTTCTCCCCAGCCTTCTTCCCCAGGCAGGAGGCCACTCTCCAATTCTTTGATCTCACTTTCTTTCCCAACCCTCAGGCCCTTCACCATCCCTCAGGTGCTGAGAACGAAAATGCCTGGAGAAGGACCGGAGGAAGACTATGATGAAGTGGAGGAGGTTGAAGAGGAGGCCCCCAAGGTCCGTCCTGGGCAGGTGGCAGATGAAAGAAATGCAGCTCTGAAGGGCAAATTAGAGCTCTGTGCCAGTCTCCCCACTTCCAAGCCTGCTGGCTTGGGCAGGGTCCTTTCAGGCACAGACTATTTGGAGAGCTTCGGGCTTTGATCTCTGCTCCACTGCCCAGAGGGCTCTCAGGGGACAGAATGGGTGGGGGGGTCTGTCAACAGCTGAGTCATCAGGTGTTATGGTCTGGAAGAAGGAAATGTAGCTGTAGGCTGTTGTGCCCAGACTGGCTTTTTTAAAAATCATAGACGCCCTGAGGCTCTGGAGGTAAGCTAGACCTCTTGTCTGAAAACTCACTTTTTAGCAACTAAACTTTCTCTTCAGCTGAAATATTAACTTGAAATTCAAGATAGAAAACAGATGAAAAGTGATTTTGCTCCATTTGAAGGGAGTAGCCAGGCAGCCCAAGCAGCCCCCAAAGGGTGACAGAGTCAGATGTTCCTAGAGCTGTGTGGAGATGTGATTGCTATGATAGGAAGCATGTGGCCTGCCGCAGGGCTCTCAGCCACAGGCTCCTACCTCTTTGCCCATCCTGGGGTAAGTCAGATTTGCATATAAAGAGAACCATCTTCACATGTCACTAGTTCTATAATAATACCTTTGGGTATTATTATTATGATGATGATGCCATAGGTCAAAGTCTGCCTGTTTGCTGAGGTCCTAGCTTTCCCCTGCACAGGTCCACCACGCACTCTGAGCATAGAAAGTGGTCCTCAAGAGGAGCTCTCACAGAGCCCTCTGCTGTGGCCCCAGAATGAGACCTGACCTCCAAGTCTCAGGGCAAGCCTGCTTCCAGGGGCCTTATAGTCAACTTTCATGGTCTTTTATGTCCTTTCCTGTTGGCCATCTCAGCCATACCCACACACGCATTCACTGATGTGCCTGCTGTGGTCCTTTCTCCCCAGCATCCTTTAGCTCCCTCCCTCCCTGAAGGAGGCTTCAGCTGGCAACCAGCTTGCTCAGTACTAAGATTGCCTGCCCTGCCTGTTGTGGATGCCTCAGGATTCCTCCCAGCAGGATCCACACAGGCTAGGGAAATGATTGCAGAGCACGTGATTGCAGATTTTCTCTTCTCTTCCTTCCACAGCTGGACCATTTCATCCAGGATCCTGCAGTGCTGAGGGAAAAGGCTGAAGCCAGGCGCCTGGCCTTCCTTGCCAGGAAGGGGTGAGCTTCCACCTGGGGGAGACCCATCAGAATCCAACTGGCCATGTAGGAAACCCTGGGTGCTTTTTAAGATAGGGTTTCTCGTCATAGTCCTGGCTGTCCTGCAGCACACTCTGTAGACTAGGCTGGCCTTGAGCTCTTTGATCTGCCTTCCTCTGCCTCCCAAGTTCTGGAAATAAAGGTATGTGCCACCACTGCCCGGCCCCTGGGGACTTTTTGGGTAGTTATTTAGCTCCTGTCAAGCTCTAGGAAGTAACTATTAATATCAGTTATCATTGTCCAGTTTGACCCAGAGACATTAAATAACTTAGTAAAGGTCATACAGCATTAAGTCTCCCCGAAAGATCAGAGCCAATCAAAGTATGTGCCTAAAGTCATAGCTACTTGGGAGGCTGAAGCAGGAGAATCATTTGAAAGCAGGATTTCAAAACCAGTGTGAGTAGCATAGCAAACACTGTTACACTTGAAAGCCACGCATCACAGTGTGAGCCGGTGAGCCCAGTGCTCAGGTGGCAAAGGCAAGAGGGTACGGTTGGTTTCTGTTGTTTTAACTCTTTACTTTTTGGGGGCCCTCCACCCAGCTCCCAAATAATCACATGGAGACTTATTCTTCCTTATGAATGCCAGTCTTAGTTTGGCTTGTTTCTAGCCAACTTTTCTTTTCTTTTCTTTTTTAAAAATCTATTATGTATATGGTATTCTGCGTGCATGTATGCCTACACCCCTGAAGAGGGCACCAGATCTCATTCTAGATGGTTGTGAGTCACCCTGTGGTTGCTGGGACTTGATCTCAGGGCCTCTGGAAGAAGTCAGTGCTCTTAACCTCTAAGCCATCTCTCCAGCCCTAGGCATCTTTTCTTAACTTAAATTATCCCATCTACGTTTTCTGTACTTTTACCTCACCCCCCCCCCCCAGACGGGGTTTCTCTGTAGCTTTAGAGCCTGTCCTGGAATTAGCTCTTGTAGACCAGGCTGGACTCAAAGATCCGCCTGCCTCTGCCTCCCGAGTGCTGGGATTAAAGGCGTGCCCCACCACTGCCCGGCTTGTTCTTTTACCTTTTTCTATTTCTGTATATCTTTCCTTCTTATTCCATGTCTGACTATGTGGCTCCCCCACATCCTCCTCTCCTCCTTTTCTTTTCCCTCCATTCTGTTTCTATTTATTCTCTCTACATGGCAGCCCTGCCTATTTTTCTCTCCTGCCCAGCTATTGGCTGTTCCTTATTAGTCCAATCAGGTGTTTTAAAAGGCAGGCAAGTAACATGGCTTCTCACAGTTAAACAAATGTAACATAAAAGAATGTAACACATCTTTGCATCATTAAACAAACAGCATAAACGAATGTAACACATATTCAACTAATATTCCACAACAAGAGTACCTCTGAGGTACATTGAGAAAGCCTGTCTCAGAAACAAGTAAATAATACAGATGCACCCAAAAGGCCTAGCTTTGTGTTCTGCGCTCATAATCATTACTTGACAGTGTGAGTCTATCACTCAGCATGAGAATGTATGCAAGCCTCACTGGTATCTGCAGAATAGAAAGAGCTCAGGCAGAAGACACATCCTTAGTGACTTCAAGTCATGGTAGGGACACAGGGACACTTGAGCTAAGCCCTTATGGTAGAAAGGGTATGGGGGAGTTTTGTTTTTCCAGACAAGGTTTTTCTGTGTAGCCTTGGCTGTCCTGGAGCTTACACTATAGACCAGGCTGGCCTCAGACTCAGAGATCCTCCTGCTTCTGCCTCCTGAGTGTTGGGATTAAAGGCGTGCGCCACCACCGCCTGGCTAGGTTCCTTTTTCTTAGTTAAGAAACTGGTCAGAGTCTACTGTGCCAAGAGTAGAAGCATAGGCCAGGGGTGGAAGTTCAGTCCAAACCCCAATTCTGGGTATAGGAGGCCTCACCAAGAGACTTTTGATTCCATGCTGAAGGCAACAAAGGCAGAGGTTGTTGACGAGAGCACAGCTATTCCAAGCTTTTTCTCCCAGCCCTGAGGGAGCACTCTGAGTAGACCAGAGGCTCTGGGCCACGGGGCCAAGTTAAGACCTGGTGTGTAAACATAGGGTGTTGTCCCATTTGTAGGGGCCCATGTATGGCAGAGGGAAGGGAGCCACCATCCAGCCCACTAACTCATCCATCTGTGTTCATACTCACAGATGGGTGATGGGCCCATCTTCAGGGGCTAGGAGAAAATTAGGCCCAAGGCTGGGGCTCCATTTCCTTTCCTATCTGGACCTGGGCCTGTGTGTGACCTCAGTGGTAGCCGCTAGGGTGGACTGTGGAACCTTCCCATCAGAACCTTGTCCAGCTGATGTCCCTCATCATGGGGTGGGTATTACTCTTGCAGGTACCGGCCTGAAAATTCTGCAGCAGTGACAGGCAGCCCCCGGGGCCATGGGCAAAGCCGAGAAACCACCCAGGAACGCAGGAAGAAAGAAGCCAAAAAGGCAACCAGAGCCAACCACAACCGTAGAACCATGGCTGACCGGAAGAGAAGCAAAGGCATGATCCCATCCTGAGGCCACAAAGATGCCTGGGTGAGGGAGGCCCTCAAGGCCACCACCATACCTCACCTGCCAGCCAGCCATGAGCACCTTCTTGTTGAACACAAAGTGCCTTATTCCTTGGTGCAGGAACCCAGTGCCATCAAGTAGGCTCTCTCCCAGCTGTGCTAGCGGGAAAAGATGGGGATGCAAAACCAAGGTGTCCTTTATCTTGTGCAGCAAGACACCACCTCACAAAGTCCTGGATGCAGCAGAACTGTATATTCAGAAACAGCAAAGGGCCCGTGAATAAAGTTTCTGACCTTCTAACAATGTTCGGTGACATGCTCCGGCCTTTTCCCTCTGTCATACCTCAGTAAGACACCACCACCTGAAAGACAAGAAGGCACAGTGGTACCCATTCACTGTCTGTTGACTTTCTTTGCTTGCCCTCAGCACCCCTCCTAATATTGCTCTTCCTTGCTGTGTGACCCCGAGCACATCGGCCCTTTCTCTGTGCCTGTGGAAAGATTATTGCGCCTGTATGAGGCTTATGGTCCATTCTGTTGCTACCTCATGCACCTCCTCCCCAGGGGGTAGGCACTGTTTCCAGTTCACAGTACAGATCAGAAAGTGGGACTTGGAGAGCTGAGAGTGTGTTCCTAGGCCACAGACAAGAGGTGACAGAGCAGGTCTTGGAAACAGTCTGATCCCTGGCTGTCAGGTTGTGGATCAGTGTAGATGATAGGAACCCCTGTGTCACAGCTGGAACAAGGACACTTGGCCAGTTACAGGGCCTCGTAGTTATAAATAGACCGTTAGCCCCTAATCTAGCCTCCCAAATCTAGAGATTGGAAGCTACTAAAACGGAGCGAAGGTATGCTGCCAAGCCCTGTTGGAGCGAGTGAGACTTGGCTAGTTTCCAGAACCCTGTTCAGGTGTAGCCCACTCAGCAGTGGGCATCAGTTAACAGGCCCCTTGGGTTTTAACTGATGTGCAGGGGAGCTATAGTGAAGTCTTTGCTGGGCTGATCCTGATCCAGCGGGGCCTGGAGTCTAAGCTGCAGACCTTGGGATGCCAGGGACATTGATTTGATTGCAGTTAGGACGAACAGGCAGACAGACACTTGATGAATTGTTTTGTTTGGCCAGCCTGCACAAGTGAAAATCAATGGCAATCCCTGTGCCTTGCTGGCCTCTGGGAGCATTTGAGATGCAGAGTGGGGATGGGGTGGTGGCCTCCCCAAGGGCTGCTGAAGAAGCTGAGATCTGGCAGGCTTAGCCATCCTGACAGACAGCAGGAAAAGAGTTTCCTCCTGGAAGCACTTACCATTGGCCCAGCTCAGTGGCAGGGTCATTACTCCCTGACTGAGCTCAGACCAAGCTGCTGTCTCCTGCAAGGCAAATAGGTGTTTGGAGCTTTGCCTGCTGTTATTCCCCACAGCCACCTCGACTGCCCAGGTTTCCTGAGAACAGTCTGACTGAAAGAATAGAACACCACTATCTTTCTGTTTCCAGCATGTCAGGCCAGACCAAACAGTCCCCCAAGAAGCAGTGTGTTGCTTGCAGCTTTAGTTCACCAGGACTGCCTTTCACAGCACTTTGAAACCAGCACGGAGCATTCCTGTCACCCTTCCTCTCAGCCTAAGTGAGAGCACTGGACCAGATGAATAAGTCCCTAGAGATGGAGACTGAGGCTGTTGCTCAGTGGTAGAGCAAGTTAACATAAGTAAGTTAACATGCATGAGTATCGGTTTGTCCCCAATACTACATACACAAAGGAAGTCCCCAAGGGGATTTGGGTGGGCGAACCATTCAGTTCCTGTACCCACCCTGTCCCACTGCTCTCCTAGTCGGGTATTTTCTAAGTGCCTTTTCTGTGCCCTACAGAGAATGTTCCCATCATAGATGTTTCTGGAGAAACTCTTAAAACCTTGTGCCTCTGAAAGGACACACGACTCAAGTGTCTTTAATCCTAGCCTGTGAATGGCTGCAGGAGCTTCTGTGCCCTGGAAGAGCCTGTGGGGAGAAGCTGGCAAGGACTCTGCCCATAGTAACTTGGTCATGGCTGCTGTCCTTGCCAAGTTGCCCCAGCTGCATCCTGGAGGAGAAAATGGTTGGCACAAACGTGCATGTCACTGCTCACCAGGAGCTCAGATTCAGTAATCTGTGCAGAAAAACAAATCAGACTCAAGCAGAGTTAGATGTGGTGGCACACACTTATTTCTTGGGAGGTAGAGGTAGAGACAGAGTTCAAGGTTAGCCCCAGCTACATGTGGCCCTGTTCATAAATGAATGCAAACTAAATCTGAAGAACAAACTTAAGAACGTGAGCAGTGTCAGGCATTGTTTGTGAGAATGTTAGCACTATGTTTGCACCCTGACCAAGTGTGGAAGGGAATTTATGGGCTGGCCATGCTGGTAGCAAGGCCATGGTTACTTCTGTTGGGAATAAACACTTTTCCTGAGCCAGAGTCTCTCCTTTGTCTTCCTGGAGTTCATTCTCTTGCTTAACCTTGCAGTGTTGGGTCAGGTGAGAAAACTGGGGTACAAGGAGGCCCAAGGTCACACAGCTAGGGACCCTGTATAGGGTCAGACTCAGGAGTGTCTCCTGAAGCTCTAAGCTTCAAGCCATGCTGTTCCTCTCACTGCAATCAAGGAAGACACCGGCAAGTACTTAGAACACAGGACTCTTGGACATGCTAAGCTGCTGGGACTCCCGAGTACAGGGGATGTTCCACAGAGCTGGATTTCTTTTTTCTTTTTTTAATTTTCATTTTATTTTCCATGCTGCTCCCTCCGCCAAAGCTCTCCAGGTCTGTGCTGGCTCGGTGGCAGGGTTGCTTCCTAAGGGCTCTCTCTTTTTTCTTTTTTTTCTTTGTTTTCCACCTTCAAGAGGTTTGTCTAGTTTACTGTTCAACCTACTGAATAATGCTTTGGTTTTGTAGGTGTGCTTGGTTTTTTGAGACAGGGTGGCTTGTATAATCTTGGCTGTCCTGAAACTCCTTCTGTAGACCAGGCTGGCCTCGAACTCACAGAGATCCACCTGCTTCTGCTTCCTGAGTGCTGGGATTAAAGGCGTGCATAACTACTGCCCAGTCATGTGTGTTTGTTTTTAAATAAGGAACTGTTTTAAAACTTTATGCGTGTGTGTGTGTGTGTGTATGTGCCTGCATGCGTTTATATGTACTACCTGTGTCTAAGTGCCTGCAAAGACCAGAGGAAGTTGGATCCCGTGGGCTACGGTGCTGGCAGCTGGACCTGGTTTACCCGCCAGAGTAGTGCACACCCCTAACCTCTGAACTCTCTCTGCGGGTCTTTATTTTGTTTTGAGAGACTGGCTCTTGATATGTAGTTCAGGCTGACCTCAAATTCAAGATGTTCTTGCAGCCTCCAGTGTGTGGGATTATAGGCATGAGACCTCTCAGGAGAGAAGAGGAAGAGTGCTGGTGTCCTGATCAGAGCCTGAATGACATTGAAGCCTAGGAGTGTTCTGACCAATATGTCCCAGGGACCAACCTGTCCCAGGGACCAGCCCCAAACAGCCAACATCCACATTTGCTTCTCGCCCTAAGGGTCAGCCTATTGGGAAGCCGAGAGTGGGGGACTAGGATCTCTTTTGGTGCATGTGTTCCAAAGCCCTCTGGGTGTCATGTATACATAAGGCCCACCTCTGCCCTCCTGGAAGTTACAGTGCAAAGAGCATGTGGACATTAAATAAAATGTTTTGCAAAAACAGAAAACTGAAGAATCCAAGGGTGCTTGTTCATTGGGCAGAAGCAAGAGGTCACTGGAGACTGTGGAGCTCAGCCTGTCTTGGCTGACAGTGAGGGTGTGGTGGGGGAATGGAGGGGAGTCAGAGGCTGCAGGAGAGCTGCTTCTTTGGACTCAGCATTGCAGAGGAGAAAGAGGAGGCTTGAGATAAACAAGGCAGGTTGGCACAACCTCACCTATAACTTTCCAGAAGGAACTAGAGCTCCGGGGACCCATTGGGAGGAAAGCTGAGCTAGAAGCCATGCCAGGCTGCTAAGCCATCCCTGGCCTCTGCTATTACCAAGATTCCTGAATATGAAGTAACCAGGGAGGGGCCTGACAGAGGCCAAAGGTGGCTGTTGCAATTCTGCAGCCCTAACCCAGGTTGAAAGGTTGATTCTGAGGCTGGAGCAATGGCTCTTCTAAAGGACCCTGGTTCAACCCCAACACCCACATGGCAGGATTCTGTAACTCCAGTCTTGGGAGATCGGAAGCCTTCTTTGGCCTTGGGGGGAGCACTGCATACATGGGGTGCACAGACATACATGCAGACAAAACATCCATACACGCAAAAGAATAAAAGTGAAAAGATGGTGGCGTCTGCAGCCTCTGTGTGCGCAGGGTGTGAGTGAGAGGTGAGTCCTGAACCAGCCATGAGTTTCTGCCTTCTTATCACACAGAAAACTCTACAATCAATTAGTAAGGTGTCACATGGCCATTAGCATTCTCGGCTTATTAAACCCCTGTGTCTTCCCCAGGCCACTAGCTAGCCTGTGGTCTTGAGGATTTGTGAACTTCTGTGGGACTCTCCCAGACACAGAATTTCTGTCAGTTTACTTGCTGTGGCCTGAATGACAGAAGAGAGAGGCACTGAGTTCTAGTTTTCCAAAAATGACATTATGAAACCAACTGTTTTTCCAGTTGCAAGACCCCACCCTCCACTCTGACATAGCTCTTAAGTGTTCTGCCATCCCAAGGAGGTCATTATGACTAACGTCCCTTCTGGAAAAAAAAGTGGCTTTCACCCAATAACCAAGCTGAGCCCTGATTCCAGTAAGCTCCAGCTTGCTCTGAGTGTTTGTGCACAGCTCCGGGCCTGCCTCCCATCTCACATTCTCATCTCCTTACTCAGCATTCTTTCACCCCAGATTCTCAGGCCTGTTCATGCCTGTTCTCTTTATTGCTCATCCATCCATAAAGGAGGGTAGGGGCGGGTCAAGAGAGCACTGGGCTGAGACCAGAAGCCAAGAGGTAGGGAGGTGGCTTAGCTAGTTAAGCGTATGCTGCCTAAGCATGGTGAGTTCTGATGCCTGGAACCCATGTAAGAGCAGGTGTAATAGGCCAGGGATAGTGGCACTCTTGAGGCAGAGGCAGGTGGATCTCTGTGAGTTCAAGGCCAACCTAGTCTACAGAGTGAGTTCAAGCAGCGACAGCAGCAGCCACTGCAGCAGCTCAGTCCTTTGCTTACGGATGCGAAGTGGCCACAGCCGAATTCAAACAGGTCAGCCAGCCTCCAGAGTCCGTGTTCTCAACCCCTCAACTCTGCTCCTCTCTAGTTTGATACTTAAGATATGTGTGTATGTGTGTGTGGGGGGGGTATTCCATGTATGTTTGGTTTAACATGGACCACCTCCTTGATTCTAAACATGGTACTTCTGCTGATGCAACTTACAATTCGAGTTGTTCTATAAATAGAGGGGCAGATGAAGGGAAAGATAGGAAGTTGGGCAGAATACATTTTTATAGTTTCCACTTTACCACAGCCTCTCTCAATGGAGGGAGGGGGTTCCCCTGTGAGGGCCCAGTTGGAAAGGCTTCATTAGGCAATCGGACATGACATGGAATTGCCGCCAGAGGCTGGTAGTGGCCCTCACTGCTGGAGGCCTGCACAAGACAGAGACAGTTCTGTGCAGACATCAAGGACAGGGAAGGGAAGAGGATCCAGTTACACAGAGTAAGGTGTGTGATGAGATAAAGGCTATCCCAGGAGTGCACCAGGCTGTGGGTTTAAATAGTGCTGGAGATGCGAGATTGCCCAGGACACAGGTTGCAATCAAGGGAACACGATCAGGCCTCAGAGGGAACAGCAAGCAAGAGACACTTGGATGATTTAGCTGCACAGTCATCCCCAAAGCTCTCAGTCTGCACCGAGTAGATCAAATGTGCTAATTTAAGCTGCTCCGTAAAGACTGGAGAAGAAGCCCCCATTTAAATGTTTTAAATGTGTTTAGGTTTATTTTACATGTAGAACTGTTTTGTCTGCATGTATGTCTGTGCACCCCCATGTATACCCGTTGCCCACAGAGGCCAAAAGAGGATGTTGGATCCCTTGGAGCTGGAATTGTGGATGTTTGTGAGCTACCATGTGAATGCTGGGAATCAAACCTGAGTCCTCTGCAAGAGTAACAAGTGCTTTTAACAACTGAGTCATCTCTCCAGCCTGTGCCTGTAAATTTCTTTGCCACTGCAGTATACCAAAATTGACCTGGTAGGCCTGGGCTGAGCATGCTGTAGCACTGTGGCATAGCTTCCTACCACCGCTGGAGGCCCTGCAGTCCTTACCATTCCGTTCCTCATATGAGAGGGGAAACAGCCTTCCAGCTGCCCCAGATGGAGACCAGAAGGGCTAGGACTATTTTTTGAACAATGTGTGTGTTATTTGTGTGTGTATGTGTGCACATGTACGTGTGTGTGTGCATGCACATGCAAGCAGGCTCATGTGAAGACCAGAGGACAACTTTCAAGAATTGGTCCTTTCTACCCTACTGAGAGGGGGTGTCTCCTCTTGGTGCTGCCCTGGAGCACCCTCCAGGCTAGCTGGCTTCTGGCAGACTCTCCTGTCTCGCTGAGGAGAGCTGATAGTACAGATGCGCCTCAAAACATTTGCTGTTTCCGTTTTTTGTTTTGTTTTATGTGTGTGGATGTTTTGCCTGTGTGCTATGTCCGTGCAACATATGTTTGCCTGGTTCCCAAAGAGACCAGCAGAGGACATTGGTTTCCCTGGGATTGGAGTAATAGACAGTTGTGAGCTGTCATCTGGATGCTGGGACTTGAACTCAGGTCTTCTGGAAGAACAGTCTTTTAATGGCTGAGCTCTCTCTTCAGTCCCCGCATTCAGCTCTTTGCATGGTTCTGGGGATTGAGTTTGAATCAGTAGGCTTGTGTGGCTAACATACTTACTGCTGAGTCAGTTCTCTGGTTTACGGGGGTAGGATTTTAGTTCAGCCATTCCCTGTTTCCATAACCTATGATCGGCAGACTGCAGAGCGGAGGATGCTAGTTGACAGGTTCACAAAGGAGAGGTGCAAGGAGTCTGTATCTGCAGAGCAGGACTGGGGAGCCTTAGAAGATATTTGAGCAGGAGTACTGATTGGGAAAGGGAGGGTCTGAGAAGGGTCTTTTTATTTATTTATTTACTTATTAAAAATTTCCACCTCCTCCCCACCTCCCTTTTCTCTCCCCCTCCTAACCTCCCCCTCCCTCTCTAGTCCTAAGAGCAGCCAGGGTTCCCTGCCCCGTGGGAAGTCCAAGGTCCTCCCGCCTCCATTCAGGTCTATAAAGGTGAGCATCCAAACAAACCAGGCTTCCACAAAGTCAGTCCATGCAGCAGAATAAAAACCCAGCGCCATTGTCCTTGGCTTCACTGAGAAGGTTCTTTGCAAGAATTTGGGAACAGAGCCCCATGGTGTTGGTGCATGTCTTTAATCTCGGTGCT